TTTTTCTCTCCATCATCTGCTCCTGGTCCAGACCTTCCCTCAAATTTTAGAACCTTTGTGGCCCATGATCAGTGTTGGGGAGTAACAGATTACATGGCCCGCCGTTACGTAATCAGAGTACAAATTATGAGTAACTGTATTCAGTTACAGTTACTGTTTCAATGAGTGGTAATTGGATTACAGTTACTTTGTTGAAATAAATGGATTACATAGCAGTATTTTCCTGTTTTCACATTTTATGCTACATCCCATTTATTTATTTATTTATTCTATTTTGGTAATTCCACTCATTGCTGGAAACCCAAACAGAACGCGACAGTAAGAGCGATGTAAACGTCATGTTCACGTTGGCGGCGTCAGTCACATAATGGACGAGGTTGAAGAGCCAGTAGAACAGAGGCAGCAGTGCACAGGTAAAAACACATTTGTGTCTTGGAAATTCTTCTCCCGACGTGAAATATAAAAGAAAATAACCAATATAAAATCACCTGCAAGTTAAACGTCAAACTGGAGGGGAATACATACAAAAGTAAACTTCCCAACACTGCCCATGAGCCAAAAAAATTTGCCTACCCCTGGTGTAGATTGTGTCCACAGATTATTTGCAGTAAGACTGTAAACAGTCGAGTCACCAGTCGTATAATGGAGTTTAGCTCAGGTGTTTAATTTGCTCGTCTTTCATCTTTTATTATCAGAGCTTAAGATTCACTTCAGAATTATTATTTTTTTCATTCTTCCCCTTTGGTTTATAAACGTAATAAATCATTAAAATGTAAAACTTTCAATAGTGAAGATGATTCTTATGTGTTTGTAACAAAAACATAATCAAGTCACATGAACACAGCAAGTGTCCTATTGGTTCAGAGTGATGATGTCACACATGTGTGCGTCCTATTGGTTCAGAGTGATGATGTCACACATGTGTGCGTCCTATTGGTTCAGAGTGATGATGTCACACATGTGTGCTTCCTATTGGTTCAGAGTGATGATGTCACACATGTGTGCGTCCTATTGGTTCAGAGTGATGATGTCACACATGTGTGCGTCCTATTGGTTCAGAGTGATGATGTCACACATGTGTGCGTCCTATTGGTTCAGAGTGATGATGTCACATGTGTGCGTCCTATTGGTTCAGAGTGATGATGTCACACATGTGTGCGTCCTATTGGTTCAGAGTGATGATGTCACATGTGTGTCCACAGACTCGGTGCGGTTGGTCTCGGGGTCCGGTCTGTGTTCAGGATCAGTGCAGATCTGGGACGGGTCCTGGACCGGGGTCTGTGACGGGGACTTGGACCAGCGGGGGGCAGAGGTGCTGTGCAGGGAGCTGGGCTGTGGGGCTCCTTCTCTCCTCCAGGGGGCGCTCTCTCCTCTGGGGCAGACGTTCCACTGTGAGGGCCATGAGTCTGCTCTGATGGACTGTCCCCGCTCCAACTCAAGCACCTGCTCCTCTGGAACCACTGTCCATCTCACCTGCTCAGGTAAAGGGGCGGGGCTTCACTGCTCAGGGAAAGGGGCGGGGCTTCACTCTGTCTCTTGTCTGTTCAGAGCCGCTCAGGTTGGTGGGAGGAGCCAGTCGCTGTGCTGGAACTGTGGAGCTGAAACACAGAGGAGAGTGGAGACGAGTGGATGTGTCCTATGACCTCTGGCACCAGGAGCACACAGTTGGTGTGTGCAGAGACCTGGACTGTGGCGCTGCTGTTTATGGAAAACATAGATATAATTTTTCAAAGAGTCCTGTGTGGAGGGTCAGACCTGACTGTGTGAAGGAGTCTTCAGTGAGAGAATGTGTCTGGGCTTCATCTTCTCCTCTTCCTCGGGTCTGGAGGTGAAGTGTTCAGGTAAAAGTGTTTTTGTAAATGTTCAGGTTGAATGTGTCCAAATAGAAGAAAGGAAACGTGTGTGACATGGTTAAATGTGTGAAAAGTCCCTTTTGCAGCAGAGCTCTGCTTTAATAGTTGAATCTTGTAGATTGTGTGCAGCAGTGACAGTGACAGAGTGTCTCATGTTCTCTTTGCTGATTCTCTGGAGATGGAGTAAACCTGTGTGCTTGTGATGGAGGATGCTGGGAGTGTGTGTGTTTGATTCTTGTTGTAAATGGATTCTACATAAAAGATCCGTTTAGACAAAGTTGTGTCTCTGATGACGTCATAGATGAGAAAATAAAGCTGCTTTTGTCTTAAATGTGTTTCATTTGTAAAGTGGAAGTGTCAGTGCGTTTACATGTGCAGCAGGATCCCAGTTATGACACTGTTCTGGACAGAGTGTTTCCATGAGCTCAGAGAAACCAGGATACTCATGTCCCTGTGCACATGCACCATCAGAGGAGACGGGACATTTACACTGGTCGCTATGGCAACTATGGCACAGATATGACAAATGATAAACATGGAGCATCTTTGATCATTTAAGACTTTTTAACTGATTTATAACAACAAAAAACACTTACACACATTCAACTAACAACACACACACACACACACACACACATACACACACAGATACACACTGTGTGAGGGGGCGCGTCTGTGTGAGGGGGCGTGTCTGTGTACATTATAAGTTTAAATCAGACGGTGTCAAATTTTTACTGCAAAGTTTAACTGAACCTTTTTACAACTAAAGAAATAAACAAACGAACTCAAGTCCTGATGTGGAGAGTAACTCAAGTCCTGATGTGGAGAGTAACTCAAGTCCTGATGTGGAGAGTAACTCAAGTCCTGATGTGGAGAGTAACTCTAGTCCTGATGTGGAGAGTAACTCAAGTCCTGATGTGGAGAGTAACTCTAGTCCTGATGTGTAGATTGTGTCCACAGATTATTTGCAGTAAGACTGTAAACAGTCGAGTCACCAGTCGTATAATGGAGTTTAGCTCAGGTGTTTAATTTGCTCGTCTTTCATCTTTTATTATCAGAGCTTAAGATTCACTTCAGAATTATTATTTTTTACATTCTTCCCCTTTGGTTTATAAACCAAATAAATCATTAAAACTTAAAACTTTTAATAGTGATGATGATGATGTTGTTATCAGAGTGATGATGTCACACATGTGTGTCCTATTGGTTCAGAGTGATGATGTCACACATGTGTGCGTCCTATTGGTTCAGAGTGATGATGTCACACATGTGTGTGCGTCTATTGGTTCAGAGTGATGATGTCACACATGTGCGTCCTATTGGTTCAGAGTGATGATGTCACACATGTGTGTGCGTCCTATTGATGTTCTATTGGTTCAGAGTGATGATGTCACACATGTGTGCGTCCTATTGGTTCAGAGTGATGATGTCACACATCCTATTGGTTCAGAGTGATGATGTCACACATGTGTGCGTCCTATTGGTTCAGAGTGATGATGATGTCACATGTGTGTCCACAGACTCGGTGCGGTTGGTCTCGGGGTCCGGTCTGTGTTCAGGATCAGTGCAGATCTGGGACGGGTCCTGGACCGGGGTCTGTGACGGGGACTTGGACCAGCGGGGGGCAGAGGTGCTGTGCAGGGAGCTGGGCTGTGGGGCTCCTTCTCTCCTCCAGGGGGCGCTCTCTCCTCTGGGGCAGACGTTCCACTGTGAGGGCCATGAGTCTGCTCTGATGGACTGTCCCCGCTCCAACTCAAGCTCCTGCTCCTCTGGAACCACTGTCCACCTCACCTGCTCAGGTAAAGGGGCGGGGCTTCAGTGCTCAGGTAAAGGGGCGGGGCTTCACTCTGTCTCTTGTCTGTTCAGAGCCGCTCAGGTTGGTGGGAGGAGCCAGTCGCTGTGCTGGAACTGTGGAGCTGAAACACAGAGGAGAGTGGAGACGAGTGGATGTGTCCCATGACTTCTGGCACCAGGAGCACACAGTTGGTGTGTGCAGAGACCTGGACTGTGGCTCTGCTGTTTATGGAAAACATAGATATAATTTTCCACATAGTCCTGTGTGGAGGGTCAGACCTGACTGTGTGAAGGAGTCTTCAGTGAGAGAATGTGTCTCTGGTTCATCCTCCTCTTCCTCTTCCTCGGGTCTGGAGGTGAAGTGTTCAGGTAAAAGTGTTTTTGTAAATGTTCAGGTTGAATGTGTCCAAATAGAAGAAAGGAAACGTGTGTGACATGGTTAAATGTGTGAAAAGTCCCTTTTGCAGCAGAGCTCTGCTTTAATAGTTGAATCTTGTAGATTGTGTGCAGCAGTGACAGTGACAGAGTGTCTCATGTTCTCTTTGCTGATTCTCTGGAGATGGAGTAAACCTGTGTGCTTGTGATGGAGGATGCTGGGAGTGTGTGTGTTTGATTCTTGTTGTAAATGGATTCTACATAAAAGATCCGTTTAGACAAAGTTATGTCTCTGATTTGAACCCAAACCCCTCTCACTTTGAATCCCACGCTCCTGAGTCTGTGACACAAACTCAACAAACTCCAACACCACTGGAGCAGCCGGAGGCACTTCGCTTCCTTCTCCTTGATTCCTCTCCTCAATCCTCCTCTGTTCAGCTGTCAATCAAATGAGCCAGATCAACTTAGCAACTTTACATCAAGTTCATCTGCACCTGGAGGTTTTTAATTTTATGGAGTAAGAAGTTTTCAAAAAATATTCGTGCTCATAGAATAGAAATCCGTGCATATTTGGCTGTAGTTGCGCATAAAATAAATATTTGTAAACTCTCAAATGAGTCCAGTCGTACATAAAATATATTGTGTGTATTTTATCCATCAAAATACGAATTGAAAAGTTACTACGTCAAGAATTACAATCACCAAATGAAAAATTTACGATTACGCTTTCATCAGTACAAATATGAATTCACAGATGGGACTTTACTGTTAAAAACACTTCATCACTTCACAGACATTATTTATGGAGCAGAAGAAACATGGATCAAGATCAAGACTGTGCATGTTTAAGTTTGTAGCAGAGTAAAAACAGAGTAATGACACAACAAGGAGCTACAACAACGACCAACAAGTGGGTTCATTCCAATTTATTATAAAAATGTCTTGTCTTGTCACATTGAATTCGGGAACCGAACTCTACTGTGTGATACTGTGTAGAAACACCTCCTCTGAATGGGAAACTGCACCTATATCTTAGTAGAAACACAGTGGAGCCAGTTGGCAACATCAGACGTAACACTAGCCCAGGGATAATGAGCAAATATCAGCGTTCTCTGCATGTTTAGATTAAAACATTCATGGCTACAGCCTCAGTGAGCATCAGTCAGTCTTAACCTTCATCTCAGCTGTATTTCTCACATGAAATGTGACCAAAAGTTCCTCAGGACGCTGAAATGTCCCAGTTTACACCAAACACTATGAAACTGTCCTGGTTACAGACGTCACAGCCAATGAAATGTTACACATTACAGTTTAATGCAGCTTCCAGCATCAATTAATGTTCGTGTTTACAGGCAACACCTTGGTATGTTTACAGTATTTACAGGTAAGTATAACGTCACCGTGTCGTGGAGTGAATGGATTTGATAGTTCATTATAACCCATTATAACTCATATATAACCCATTGTCTGTAACCAGGACAGTTTGGTCGTGTTTGGTGTAAACTGGGACATTTCATTGTCCCGAGGAACTTTTGGTCACATTTCATGCGAGAAATGCAGCTGAGATGAAAGTGAAGACTGACTGATGCTCGCCGTGACTGGAGCCGTGAATGTTTTAATCTAAACATGCAGAGAACCTGATATTTACTAATTAGCCCTGGGATGTTCGTCTGATGTTCACCAACTGGCTCCACTATGTTATTTACTAAGATATATGAAGAATCCCTCAGTCGTCCAGGTAGAATCCATGAGGAGAAAATTCAGTTTGTCGACTGGACAAAAGTTAGTTTAGTTGAAGAGGTTGTCGCAGCTCATCCAAGCTGCTTCTTCAGTTCTGAAGACAGAACTGTCAGTCGGCAAACTGAATTTTCTCCTCACTACTAAGATATAGGTGCAGTTTCCCGTTCAGAGAAGGTATTTCTACACAATATCACACAGCAGCGTTTGGTTCCCAAATTCAATGTGAGAAGACAAGACATTTTTACAATAAATTTGAATGAACCCACTTGTTGGTCGCTGTTGTAGCTTCTTGTTGTGTCATTACTCTGATTTTACTCTGCTACAAACTTAAACATGCACAGTCTTGATCTTGATCGATGTTTCTTCTGCTCCATAAAATAATGTCTGTGAAGTGATGAAGTGTTTTTGACAGTAAAGTCGCGTCTATGAATTCGTATTTGTACTGATGAAAGTGTAATCGTAAATTTTCATTTGGTGATTGTAATTCTTGACGTCGTAACTTTTCAATTCGTATTTGGATGGCTAAAATACACACAATATATTTTATGTATGACTGGACTCATTTGAGAGTTTACAAATATTTATTTTATGCGCAACTGCAGCCAAATATGCACGGATTTCACGCAAAATATTTTTGAAAGCTTTCTTACTCCATATAATTTCATTCGAATTTTAACACACTTCTCTACAGTACTTGTACTTACTTTATCCATCCATCCCCATCCATTTTCCCCTTTCCGCTTATCTGGGGCCGGGTCGCGGGGGGCAGCAGTCTAAAGCAGGCCTGACTCCCAGACTTCCTTCACCCCAGACACGTCCTCCAGCTCCTCCGGGGGAACCCGAGGTTTGGCGTTCCCAGGCCAGCTCCGATGAGACATAGTCACCTCCAGTGTGTCCTTTGGGTCTTCCCCGGGGCCTCCTCCCGGCGGGACATGCCCGGAACACCTCCCGAGGGAGGACCAGGGAAGACGGCCGGTCGGAGAGACCCAGGGGGAGCTGTAACAGACCTGGAGTCGCACCTGCCGAGAGCTGAGGACCAGAGCCGGTGAAGGAGGCGTGGACCGCGCCTGCCTACCCACACGCCCTGCCTGCCCGTGCTCATGACCACCGCCGAACCCCGCCATCGCCGCATTCCACACGGACCGAGAACAGCATCGCCAAGTAAGGCTGGTTCAGACAGTGAATGAATAAGGGTTGGCATCCCTCTTACGATTGCGTCCAATTATTCCCAAGGCAAGCGCAGTAGCGACTTAGCGAAACGCCATAACTGAGCTAAACTGAACCCCGTTTTATAACTACCTCAGGTTGTTAAAATCGGTGCTTTAATGTTACGTAACCAGAACTTGGAAGCTGGTGTCTAGTTATTGTTTGTTAATAAACCACACAAAGGAATTTGCTGGTTTCAGTGATTTTTCTTAAAGTTATCATCAGGTCACTTTTTCGGGTACGTTCCCTTCAGATTGATTTAATTGATAAGTTGTTATTGTCGCATATGGTTAAGTTTGATTCGGTCAGAATCTGGTGCCCCGCAAATGTATAATTTCAATAATTCGTCAAAAGCTAAACCACATGCTCAAACACGCACATCTTACAACACGTTAAATCGCATTTTCTCCTACATTTCCAACCACCTCAGTGACTTCAGCCAGGATGATGGACGAGTCCACCTCGGAGTCCCCAGCCTCGGCTTCCTCCTCAGAAGACCTGATGGTGGGATTGAGGAGATCCTCAAAGTATTCCTTCCACCACCGGACAACGTCCCCAGTCGAGGTCAATAGCTCTCCCCCCGCACTGTAAATAGTGTTGGTGAAGGAGTGCTTCCCCCTCCTGAGGCGCCGGACGGTTTGCCAGAATCTCTTTGAGGCCGTCCAATAGTCCTCCTCCATGGCCTCCCCGAACTCCTCCCAGCTCCGAGTTTTTGCCTCCGCAACCGCATGAGCTGCAGCACGCTTGGCCCGCCGGTACCCATCAGCTGCCTCAGGAGTCCCCCGAGCCAGCAAGGCCCGATAGGACTCCTTCTTCAGCTTGACGGCATCCCTTACTTCCGGTGTCCACCACCGGGTTTGGGGATTACCGCCGTGACAGGCACCACAGACCTTACGCCCACAGCTACGAGCGGCCGCATTGACAATAGAGGCCGAGAATGAAGCCCACTCGGACTCCATATCTCCAGCCTCCCCCGGAATCCAGGAAAAGTCCTCCCCGAGGTGCGAGTTGAAAGCCCCTCTGACAAAAGGCTCCGCCATACGTTCCTCACTACACGCTTGGGCCTGCCAGGTCTTTCCGGCTTCCTCCTCCGCCAGCGAACCCAACTCACAACCAGGTGGTGATCAGTTGACAGCTCAGCCCCTCTCTTCACCCGAGTGTCCAAGACACGCGGCCGGAGATCAGATGACACGACTACAAAGTCGGTCATCGACCTCCGGCCTAGGGTGTCCTGGTGCCACGTGCACTTATGGACACCCTTGTGCTCGAACATGGTGTTTGTTATGGACAAACTGTGACTAGCACAGAAGTCCAATAACAAAACACTGCTCGGGTTCAGATCAGGGAGGCCGTTCCTCCCAATCACCCCTCTCCAAGTGTCACTGTCGTTGCCCACGTGGGCGTTGAAGTCCCCCAGTAGAACAATGGAGTCCCCGGTTGGTGCACTGTCTAGTGCAGGGTTGGGCAAACTTTTCGGCTCGCGGGCCACATAGGGTCCTAAGGTTTGACTGAAGGGCCGGACAGAAGACAGGACATAACGTGTTAAGACCTTGGCTTCATTACATTCATATTCACGTTTATGTAGGACTTCAGCATCACACTGTGCGCTTCAAAACTACATCAAAGATTCAGAACACAGAAAAGTGCATAGACCTGTTCCACTGCACACCACACGTGAACAAATAGCTGAGCTTAACGTTTTCAAATCTGACCAAAAATAGCTCGTATTCAAAGCTCACGTCATTCAACAACATACATACAACTGCGAGTGCAGTAAAACCGGATTCCGTGAAGTTGTTATTACTGAAGATTACAACTCAGAATCTATAAGCTTTCTATGTTTAATTTTTACCAACTTAAAATGGAAGCATTGCAGTCTTATATCTTGACCACCAACTACTTCACTCATGGTCCGAATAACTCCTGTAAGAACACTTTCCCATAAAGCATTGCGGCCAACGTAATACGCCGCACCTCAATGTATATATAGTGCGCCATCTACTGGGAAACGCCAGAAATGTATGACAAATAAAACATCAACAAGGTTT